ACAAATTATTTTTTTTAACAATAACCTCAAATATTTCTTGTTGAATACCTTCCGAACTCTTGTTAAATCTGCACGACATTTATACAATACATACACTCTACTACTTTGATTTTTTTTATTTGGAATGTGCTAAGAATTCTATTACTTTTTAATATGTTGCATGGTTAATTTCAACGAATTGTAATAGGGTCCAAGGTAACATCCAGCTAGGGACGGCTATAAAATCATTTGACTTAACTAAAACGTATCATACTATAGGCGCATATTTATCTTGTTTCTGTTTGTCAGTAAAGTTATTAAAAAAATAGATGACATTGATTTACTTAGTTTACTATTACTGAGCAAAATGACAGAAGCAATACTTTTAACAGACGGAACCTATAACGAACGGTGATCTGCGGATTGCCGTACGTTACCGGTTCCATTCATATTCCATTAGAGATTATTAAACTCTATTTTCAATCTTAGTTTTTTTCCTGTTTTTTACTGCTTAGCAATATGGGCAGTGAAAGACAACGCTGACAATAGTAAAACAAGGGTTGATAGTGATCTTTACCCAAGCATTTCGAATCTGTAGAATGCCGGGACGCAAAACTTGGCAATGATAGGTTGCAGTTGACCCGCTAATTCCATCAGCATATTTCATTCCTTGAGCATGGGCTACCTTATGCTGCACGCTGTATGAAAGCCAAATGAATAGCACGTATCTACTAGAAACGTTAAAATCTTTCTTTCTCTCTAATAATACTGCAATCTTTACAGTTATCTAGATGAGATATGCGTGCATGTATGTATAAGTGTGCGTAAAAGGTAAGTTCAAACTGTGTTAACCAAATTCGTTAGTTTCAATCAATAAAATTTTGGAAAAGTCGTTTCATATAACGCTGCTCCTTTGTTTTCACTCTCTTTTTAGATTAGGTCAGTATTTTTGTATCAACTAATTTTAATCCAGGTAAAGTAATGTATATTAGGTTTATCACAGGCAACTGACCTTTAGCATGTAGGGATATTAGCACTATGTTCAAGCTTTTCCAAAAAATCGGCATGAGCTATACGATTTAAAAACTTTCAGAAAGTTGACTAGTTTTCATTTATTTATAGAATGTCTTTTTTGATATTGACACAAAGGTCGGAGCTATAGCACTCTTCCATTAATACCTCGTACCCCACTCTGTGTATTTAGTTAGGCCTCCCAATCTGGATCTATATTATAAGAGACTGAAGCCTAATACGCAGCAGTATCTGACAGCGTCCATGTGAACTAGTTTCAGCGGTTCGGAGCTGAGAAGCTTAACTTAAACTGCAAATTATGCTCCAAACAGCTAGAGAAGGATGAGGATGAGAAACCGCAGGATTCTTCATCATGTGAAAATTCGACTTAATGATCTCAGGAGTTCTCTGCAGCAATGAGAACTTATTCAACCACGTGGATCCAACGCGAGCTTATTTACCATATGCGCGTCATTGCTCTTACAGTCAATAAAGGGTTGCTTTTGTACAATATCAGTACCTGAGATAAAAAGGTGAACACCATAATTTTTTGCAAGAAGCTATAGAATAGGACAGAACAGTTAAATATTACAGTCAAATAAACCAAAGCAACTCATAAGGTCGAAAGAAAATGAAATGAACCTAATCCCACCTAAGTTGGTCAAACCTTAATAAAAGTTGGCAAACTGAAAACTTCGCTATATAAATGCTCTAAAGAAACAAAAATACTTGACTCCATGAAACTGTAGAGACTCGGATAATTCTGATATGATTCAAGCGGAAACTTTTGTTTTTGTATGTCTGGCATTATAATTGTTTAGATTTACATAGCACAGCTTAGAGGACAAGCGGTTTAAAGGAAAAGAGGGAGATCTTAAAATAACTGTACCCGTCGATCACGTTCCATGTATGTCGCCTTCATTAGCCGGTAAGTCGGTCCCTCGCCTAAGACTTTAGACCTATCTAGGATAGAAATAATGGAGGAGTTAGAAAAAAACGTCAAAATATCGGTATTATTGATATGTTATATAATATTACTTCTTTTTGCGCACAGATAGACGGTCTGTCTTCACTTCACGTTTTGGCTTCTTGTGCCCTGGTCACGATCCAATAGACACCCGTCGCTTTACTGCAAGTACGAAATTCGTCGTATAGTATTAAATCAACAAGACAAACTAAGATGTGGGGCATGAAATAGACTAAATGTAGATGCAAATGGTTAGGACATACAGCAGCCCATGTGCACTTAGTCTTAGACAACGGTAACGTTTATTGGCAACATTAAATCAAGAAAACGGCTACAGACCTATCTTTCTTTTCTTTCTCTATGTATATATACATATATTATTCAATTATGCTGTTCGATCGTCTTCCCACCTATAATACACATATAAATATGCACCAATTTTTATAGGGTCTTTGGCTAGGGTTCTAAAACCACTCTGTAAAATTTTTCGGAGTTACAAAATACATCTCTTCGAATTAATAGACGTTAAAAGTAGGAAGCCTAAACACACAAACAGCATAGTTAAAATGTAAATGTTACAAAAGATGGAAGATGGAAATATTTTGTTTCGAGGTGCAAGTTTAATCTCGCTAGTGTTCATAGAAAACAGCATGAACGAATTTTGTAGCGAAAAGTTTGCTTAATCTTTGAATACTCTTTTGCTGTATTTTGTACTATTAATATATTTTGTCATTAAAAATTAATCTGACAAAAAGCTAATTTATGCGTGGTAATGTTTGTTTTTTTCTGTAAAACTTTGCCAAAGGTTGGTCTTAAGTCGTGTCCATTTAGTGATATTATTTTCTTTCCCAAAAACATGTTTCGCTTTTTCGTTCTACACAGATACATATTACGGTAGAAAACCGCTCGTTATGCTGAGTTGATATTAATTCACAAACTAACACAAACTTTTTATCCGTTCGCTATTATGTTGTGTTTTATTAAAGACTCACAATGTATGTGCAAATTTCATTTTACATTTCGAAAATTTAATATGCAGCGTTTTAATTAAGACGCAAAAATAATCATTACCTGCCGTGATCCATTGGCTTTGTCTGCCAACTTTGAGAATTACATAGACGTACTTAATACAAGACGAGCGAGAAAAACCGTACTTCAGTGCGATTACCTATGAGGTTCCTTTTGTGCAATCGAATTAATTGTCATTAGTCTGACTTTATTCATACCCAGTCATCAGCCGGCATCTTCATCTAAAGTTTTCACTGTTAACAGCGCATAGTAATCGTATTATGTATAGATCATTTAAAGCGAGCGTTTCTTTAACATGGCGTTGTTGCTGGAATAGATAAATTATACATTGCAGGTCTAATAAAGATAGCAGGTTAACAGATCCAACAGTAATTTCCTAAACGTACTAATATGGTAGTGCAAGATTTAACAGATACGGCTTGCATATATATATCGGGGATTACTCTTCTTCAGGTATGTCAAACAGTCGTTTACAAGAACCGTAGAAAAGTTTCCTTCTTTTCTTTAATTTGTTAGGGTTTATTACATATCACTTATGTTGCTACTACATAATACTCAAACCATCATACCAAATTTCGTAACATTTGTCAAAGTAAACCTTCTTGCATATATGCATGTGAGCTTGGAAAATCAGAGAGTGCGAGTGCCTTATGAATATGGATTCTATGTTGGAACTATAGGCGGTGGAGACACTTAACAGCATAGACCTTGTATCTGGTGAGAGATCTGGTAGCGCAGATAGCGTGAGCCGGGGGCGTGAAAAAATTTTGACAACGAAATGTTGAATTTGAAAATCGTGAATGCAGGTGATTATAGTGCTGTTTATATTATATTATATTATTATTATAGTAAACCGACTCATAAGATCGTATACGAGTGTAAGCATCATAAGCAAACATAAGGTATGCGTAAAAATACTATACTTATTTATCTCTGTCTAATTAAAAAAAAGTAAAAAGAAATGACAAACGAGCGCTATACAATTTAAGCAGGCGTCTATTTGCTCTCCTGTTATAACAGTGACCCGTTCTTGTATCAAATTGTGACCACGGTGAAAAATTATTTATCTTTTACAATAATTCCAGGCTGTTATACCAGTATGTCGAACCGGCGGGTCATTACGTTAAAATATTTTTACAGCTGCAACGGTGCAACTAGTGGTGCCTATTTGATCATGTAGCACAGGTGTTATCAACTATATAGTTTCATGAGTTTTGGTTCGTCGATTTTCGCTGAAGTGCATCTTTAATAATTGGAGAAGATGATGACGGACAACCCCATATTAAGCAACAAAGATTACTGAACAAAGGTACAACTCTATTCGTAAAACAGCCTTCGGCCTTAGATTATAATCAAAGGAGTAAAAATACAGGACTTAACAGTTAGCACCTCCTGATACTCACCATATTCACCAGATTTTTTCGAAATCCACGCATCTTCTTATTAGAAATTATTCAAATTCTTTGGCTATTCGACACTTTATAAGCTCCCATACTCCAGATTTGAACAACAGTAGAATAAATAAGTTCCTATCTAAATAGTAGAAGGCCATCTATAAGAATAGTACATATTTTGACTGAAAATCAAACAAGCTTGTGAAAAAAATTTGAAAAGTATAAGTTCACTAACTCAAATTTCTCATTAAACGACGTAATATAATGCAGCTTAAACGTTTAGCTTTCCTTTCTTTGGTAGAATGTTTGCCCTATAGGAACGGAAGAGTTAATAACTAACTCTTCCGTTTATAGAAGCTGACAATACATTAATTCGATGGGGTGCAGTAGCTGTTAATCTTACATGTAATTAGAGAAACGCTCAAGATTTCATGCTGTTGATGGAAAAATTTTATAGTAAAACATTGAGCCTCTGCTTAGTCAAAATAGCAATTTCGTGATACACGAAGCCCCCGCTATAGGTTTATGTACATATGTACAACAAATGATTTATTTTTATGTATTCTTATTATTTTTATTTATTACTTTATATACTTCCTTACGTCGTCAACACGAATTCCGTATCAAAATTTAGCTACTATTAGTCTTCTTCTTCTGCTTTTTTTGTATCCTGTTCCAATCAGTATCATCTTTTTTTACGGCGTGTCTTCATTGGGGCGTATTATTAGTTGTCACGCATATTTGTTCGTTTTTTGTTTATCACGCGGCAGACGGATGGCGGATGATGTTATTGAGAAAACTTCGCTATTATCTCTATGATCTAACTGGTATCTAATGTCACCCGAGCTTTTTTCTTAACCTGCAGAAACAAAAAGTGTTGTTTCCACTTTATCAGTCTATTTATTTTTCTGAGCAACAACGGTTCCGTGTTTGAGTGGCTGGCCCGTGATGAACGAAAAAAACATGCTCACAGTTAGGAATTCACAAGTAGAAATAAGTTCCGCACATTACGTTCAAATAAATGATCAATGAATACTACTAAATTGGAACCATATGCTTGTTACGTATTTATTATTTTAAATTTATATAAAATAATAAATACGTAATAGGAAACACAAATTTGCATCACATTTGAGTAACTGCATTCTCATCCCTAATTCGCATGTTAAGCAATACGCAATGCTGTGTCCAATCCATCAAACATTAAAACTCAAAGGTTACCGCCGCACAATCTTGAAGGTCAGAAACCGTGAACTTGACCTCTTATTTTAAAGATAGGCGTATAATACGCTAGGAAACTCAAACCTGCAATTATCTTCCTTTTGGCTTCGGTGAGTAATAATTACGGGAGTATCAGTGAGCTTGTCCTAAATGAAATTTAATCTGGCCTACCGGGTGCGTGTGGGCGCAATGTATAAAAGGCGCCTTTCATCCACAATTAAAATATGTGTAAGTTAATGTAAATTTCACGCCCCTTTTTTAGCTTCCTTTGTAGTCATAACCTCTGGCGTTTAATGATCCAGTTGGTTCAGGATTTAAACGAATGGCAGCCGCAATTGCATTCTTTATGATCGTCACGGTAGTACATTTAACGAGATGTACATTAGTCATTCAGGCAGGGCTGTGCTTGTTCATTACATGAAGCCAAGCACAGTTCGTGCGGTTATTCCTGCGGAACTTAGCGGTTCAGGGATAGCACGTGCATGCCACATACAGGAAGCCATTAATTCGGACCCACCATGAGCATATACAAACTGCCTGGTAGTAAATACGTCGCAAGGCCAGTCGAGCTTAAAAGAGCAGACTACGACAGCTAGTAGCTTATTCAAAATGCTAGAGTGTACTTTCTAACGTCTTATAGCATCAAAAAGTAATTTAAAAGAACAACCGCTTTATCTCAATCAACAATACGGGATGCGGATTGGTAGCCGATCTTTGATGAATGATCACATCGGTCGCAAGTCTGCTGGTATTTGGTAGATGGTCACATAGTTATTAATGTTTTCTAAGATGTTATCTTGGGACCATCTCGCGAAAGGAAGGCGGAAGATGATTCGAAAATTTGCAGAATCAGAACAGCAATAATGTGAAAATGGTGACAGTCTTGAACGATAAGAACTAAACGAGGTTCTTCACTCTGGATTGGCATGATAATACAAATGGCGATCTCACCAACCACAATACGGACAGTAGCAGACCTAAGTCGCAAAGATAGGGAAATGCGACGTATTATGCGCATCAAATGAAGTACGAGCAAGAAAGAAGAACCTGAACGCGCAAAAAGGAAGAATTTTGAAAAAGAGCATGGAAAATCTGAAATAATGTTTCATAGCTTCTTACAGCAAGCACCAAAGATACAGCAGTTTAATGGGTATTATCGTGCCCTACACACCCAGAGTACGGTCTCATTCGGCTGCGAACAGGTCAATGAAGCCCACACAAATTGTACTATAAAGAGAAATAGATTCGGCTGTTCCGGTCGTGCATCAATCCATTAGCCAACACTTTTATAGAAAAAGATTAGTTATACCGTCCGTACGGGCCAACGAATATAAGCTACACATAATTATTTTCACTATGGGTGATTCTAAGAGGGAGAATACCAGTCGTCGTATACTGGTTAAGTATGTGTATATAAATTGGGTTGTCAAAAAAGTTGAAGTATTGATCACTATTCTTGCTAGATGACTTCAGGTAATACGAGTTACGTCATATTGGCGTTGGTGTCATTTGAGAGCCCTCATTCAGACTTGAGATAAAGCCTCTCGGAGATGAGAAACATTCCTGCAAAAATTCGCTGTATTTCACAGGTTTATTACGATAAAGGTACAAGTTCTGGCTACGGCTGTTCTTAGTGAAAATACTTTATTCGAAGAAGCTGCTAGAAGAAGATGGTTCTCTCGTTTTCCTTCAAGGAATTTCGATCTGAAAGATGGTTTTCGTGGTGGTTTACAGACTACAGAAAAAGTTGATGATATTAATGCGAAAGTTGAGCAAGAAGAACGAAAAATCGTGAACAGCGATGAGAGAGATAGCCGAAAAACAAAACATTTACCACCAGACTATTTTAAAGCATTTTAAAAAAGCTAGCTATAAAGAGAGCTCGATGTTTGAATGCTACATGAATTTACGCGATCGCATTTCAACTCAGCTCTATAGAAATGCGACAAAATCGACTCATCTCTAAAGCAGTCGATCATTTAAATTTGAATCATTTAAAATAATAATAATAATATTCAAATAAAGAAACAAAATATTTATATAGCAAAGCCTAGCGCGACGCCAAAAAGGGTGATGCCACTCGTTCGGTGTAATTAAAAAGAGATCGTGCATTATGAGCTTCTGCCGCCTGGCATAAGTAGATCGATTTGGATCTCTGCATAATTTCCCTAATGTCAATCCATATTGCTGTTCCATGATGCTAATTTGGTTCAGATGGAGGGATGCAAAAATCGCCTAACCATAATTCTTCATCCAGATTATGGTGTTGCCAGAAACATGGCACGAAATCATCGGCCGAAAGAAGGCATTTTCATTTCAATAATATAATTTTAGAATAAAAAGTATATGCTTTAATTTTGGCTTGAGAACGGTTGAATAGTGTTTTTTTTTCTACCAGCCCAACATATATGTAGAATTAGTAGCCCGCTCGTCCACCCGCCCATGTTATATTAATCTATAATTCAGTGTTTCTCGAGCATCGCTGGCGGAGCTCCGTTGAGCTCTTTTCCGAGCACTTCACTGGCACTATTTAACTGCCGCTGGGCTATATCTGGAACGCTGTTACAACGATGTAGCACAGACTCGAGATTGTTGTCATTAATGGTATGAAGCTGTTGTACCTGTGACTGATTACAGCTTACATAAGAGGTGTAGGTGTTCTTCCGTTGGCTACCCCGCATAGCTCGGCTACAGAACAGCCTGGTGAAGCCCTGACGAAAGTTTGCATTCAGCCAGCAATAAATGACTGGATTATAACAAGTGTGGCTCATAGCAAGCCAATGGCAGAAAAAATACGCATACCCCACATACGGGGTGTTACTGACGGTGACAGGGTCGATCATCATCAGGAGAATATACACGTTTAGCGGCATCCAACACAAAGAGAATACGGATACTACGCAGATCATCATTTTAACCATCTGTAAGTCAAACCGACACAAACAGTAATCCACAATTGGTTATTATGAGGCTAAACTGTTACTGTTACATACTGTTTACTGCACAACGGTATAAGTGAATTCTATACATGTGTACATCTACAATAAGATTTATGTAAGGATACAAATATCGAAATCGTCTAGTGCTAAGCAAACATTGGTAAACACAAAGCGCATAAGGCACTTGAAAGTTTGTCATAGTTTTATCTTGAATTGTCTTCATTCAAACCCGCAGTTATGCGCCCCAAGGTTTTTGAATCACGGAAGCTTCCATAAACGAATTGCAAACGCTTCAACTATAGGTAATTAGACTCCCTCCCTCCGTAGGCCACTGCAATCCCTGTTCTATTGTTAGCCCCCAAAAATTTCATCTACGGAAGCATGGAGGACGCGTGTCATAGTGCTCGCACTGACTCAATGCTCTACATATAATCTCGACCAGTTTTACCGTATCTCAATCCGCTCGGCCAGTCGATTCTGGCTAATCTGTTGAGACACAGTGGTGGAGCGGTAGTAAAACTGATCGACTATCATTATATGTCATTTACAGTTTATGAAAGGTCAGGCTTTCCTGACTGAGGAACCACACTTAAGTAAATTTGAATACGTATACGCACATAGAGCCGGCCCGTGATAAACAACTACTTCTCAACGCTTGACTCTTTGCTGGCTAGGTTAGGTTTAGGTAATCAATAGTAATAATTTAGAACATTATAGCCTAATGGCAGACTCAGACGACTTAACACATATATTCTTTGCGAGTTGAACACGTTAAATCAAGCGTCATTGCAGTACTGATAAATACAGGACGCGCGGAAACCAAAAACGAGTCCCTCAATTGGGCTCAGCAAATTTTATACAGAGGATACATGATAAGTGAATTTAGTTAAGAAAATAATTGTGAATCAGCCGTTAAAAACAATTCAGATTAAGTTTGAAATTAAAGTATGTGTTAACAGTAGACAGGGATGCAAAGACGGCATTGTTTCTCATCCTGTGCAGCAGAGACAGCCAATTACGACCATTATGTACGTATACGCTCCAATATGTCGTCTAGGAAACAACTCTAGGCTTAAACACGACAGTTTGATTAGGCATAACACGATAGATACGGATATATTGATTCTAAAATCAATATACCATTTTACTTTTCCTAGAAGACTACTTTTTGGGGCTACGTACAAGGTGAAATCGCACACAACACAATACGCAATGAAATGCTATGGAAAGGTTAAATATCATGTCGTACACGATTAGACCGAATTGACCCTCGAAATTGTAAAGCTTTTTAACTAAAATGTAGCATCAAAAAACTTTGTTCATGTCACTTGTTTGTTTAACAGATGGGTCTACGTAATCTGCTGCAAATGAGAATGGCAGACTGTTTAAAATAGTCTATCGCGTATTTTTTATTTATTATTTCAATTACATACTTGATATATCCTTCAACAGATCAATTTATAACAGATCTATGGGCAGCTACTTCAGATTTTCCCACCGTTTTTGGCATACGCACTTTTTCCTTTGAAATGCCTTTAAACAAAAGTGTGACTTGTATTGAGATAATTTGGAATCGGATATTGTAAATCAGCCACAAAAAATATGATGAGCATCGTGTTAGGCGACGTGGCATGCGGTAGTTTAATCGATAGTTGTTTGATAGTTTTTATATATTTCGTTCTACTTGTACTACATATGTTACATTCTCGCTTTCGAGCTAAAATTAAAATCCGTTGCATGAGTTTTCTGCATAGCATTGACCGCTATACCGAACTGCAATTGAGCTGCAGGTACTTTGTGGCGATGCAATGGCACCCCATTGGTGCCTTGATGTATCATTGCTGGTCCTACTAATAACAATAATGATTCGAGACCTAAAAACGAAGATTCGGGATTATTACTCGCTGGCAATAGATTATACTATTAGTTCTAAATACGCTTATTGCTGCATCCGCTGGTGGTCTCCTTAGGTTTTCAGGTAAATGGGTTCATGGGTCTTTGACATAGCTTTTCATTCTGCTTTTTGGCCTGTCCTTGAGTAGTAGAGAGTGACACTTGTAAAACAAATATTGACTGCGTACTTGACCTCTTTACCGGTAGTTATGTTTTTCATTTGTTAACGTTCGTCCAGTTTTATATATACAAACATGAATTTCCTGGATTGCTACCGCTTTCACAGCCCTTCTAGAATGAACACTCATGGTAATACCGAATCACCTGATATGGCTTCGAACGTCTGACGTAAAACCATTATCTACTTCAATAAAGATTTTTTTATCAATACGTCCTTGATAGAATCTCATTAATACTCTACAGCATGAAACTTCAAACCGCTCTTATCGATTCCAAGTCCACTTCATCTGTGGATAATCAAAAAGCGTATCTGAAATGTCGAAGCCAAGGTCAACGCCGCCGGAGACTTTAAACTAATTTACGTCAAAGATACGTAGAAAAAAAACAGAAAAGAGCCTAAATAAACTCTGAAAGTGCTGCTTCATTAGATATATACTCATTGAGACATTTCTCGTTTCGTAATATAATCGTATGGGGGTGAAAATATCTATTATCACACTTGCGGAGGTTTAATATCAGCAACAAGTTCAAGTGAACCAAACGCTGACTTTAATTCGCGGCGTGATTACATAATGCAAAAAATACCCCAAGATAGTATAGAATTACGAAATATTTGAACATAACTTGGCTTAATATTTGCTAGCATCATCGACGCCATCAGCACTGAGCTTCTACACTATCGTACTTTGTAATAAAGGAAGGTAGGTCACAGGCTCGTCGAATAGAAATAAATAATATTTAAACACTTACCTACACTAACTATGCACACGAACTATATATACTATATATTCAGCATACTGAGGCCTAGATAAATTTTTTTTTAGATTAGGTGGCCCAATTCCGATTATTGCAAATTCACTTCTATTTAAAGGAATAGGGCGTTACGTTTATTATAATATGTAAGCTAATTCCTATTTTAGGAATTAGGAATTTGATTTTCTCCTTAACGAAAGGTGTCCTATCTAGATATAGGTAATTAGTGCTAGCAAAAGTAAAGGGGCTGAATTATAGCCTCTGCCTAATGTATTTTTATTTTGTAAATTCGAGATGTGCTGTGACATTTGAATGAATTTAGTGTACAGAATGTAAGGTGACTATTTTTGTTAGTCCTTCAACTTAAATCCCCTCCTTCGTTATTTTATATAATTATTACGCTGTAGAGACTCTGCCAATTTATTGGAACCAATCGAGATAGTTACGCCTTGTTGTTTAGTTGCGTATATGTTTGAGATAGTATTTTAAAGGAACCTTTTTTATAGGGTCGCCTAAGCCTTAGATAGTAAGTAGCGTAAACCAAATACACCTGTTACGGTAGAGATTTCGTGCCAAAACGCACTGCTCGCGCGATGAAGCTTCTTCACATCCGATTATAATAGCAAAAATTTCATTTTAATAATAGAATTCTACTTGATCAAACACTAACTTAACACAATTTAACTTAGACGGGTTAACGAGACACCAGTTGCTGCTTACATGTAATGGTTGTTTTCAATCGGTGGTCGTCTGCTGGAAATTCTACGGCCTATTGTGTATCTTACAATAGCAGACAATAATACATCCACATACGTGATTTTTTCCAAAAGGCTACAGCTAAAAAATGAATATTCTATGTCTGTGCATGCAATGGAGGTCAGTAGTAAAACTCGCTATAAAGTATTGCTTCAGACGACTGCCCTTTCCAGCACGAAGCGAAGTACGCTTATGCTCAGCTTCAAACCTAGACCACTTAACGAGTTCTTAAGTTTAGTAGGCGGACATGTCACCACTGCACTATTGCGAGATGTTAGAGTCATCATTAATTAGAATACAGCGAGAAATAGATACTTTGTCGCAATACTTTGTTTTCTTCTTTTTTTAAACTTAGTTTTTTTCCGGCACTGGCTTGAACCAATACGATGTATATGCTGTGTGCAAAATAAAGAAATTTTAATATTATGCAAAAAATAATCTTAGCTATAGATATTTAAATACGACAGTCAATTTTCGGAAAAGATACGAATACGCACGGCCTTGCTAGGATTTATGGTGTACGCTTTGCATATATAGAAACATAACTATTAAGCGGTTCTACCTGAACAATTTCTTGCCAGAATATTGGCCAGCTTTATAAAACAATGCGGTTAACTATCGACCATCTATGTGCAAGTTGTTGGTCTCAAAAAAATACCGAACGGATATTGTGCTACTGTTCACAGTGAAGTGTTCATCTAAAATATTCAACGCAACCCTTCAGGTGGAGCTAAGCAGTCTAGAGCAAAGTAAATTGCACCCTCATTTCCTTTACTCACATATACAATTTTTCCAAATAACATTTTATGTTAATGTTACAGTGAAATAATGTTGAGGATTTTTGAGTAAATATGCTGATCTGACTTTCTGCCCCCTTCAGTATTTCAAAGAAATTAACTGTTCTCTACCGTATGGGAAACTCTATCTCACTCACCTTTCGTTTCGACTGAGCCATACGACAGTCTCGTTGATGTTCTGCTTCGCCTGGAATCTCCTTGCCCCAAACTGTGATGGCGATTCGCGCGTACGTCACGATAAGCACCAAAAGTGGCAAAAGGTACTGCAATGTTAACAACCCGTAAGAGTAGTAAAGCTCCAGTTCGGGCGCTGAACTCCAATCTTCAGCACAGTATTGAAAAGCTTCGCCTGGACAGTCCGGATGGTCCTTAAGCGTTAGCCTTAACGCTGATGGCAGTGGTGTGACAAGAGCCACCGCCCACACGATGCCTATGATCAGTCTGGCCTGCAAACTGTTTAGCCGTGGCTTGAGAGGATACATAATGGCCAGGTAGCGATCCATCGATATCGCGATCAGCGTATACGCGCTCACCATTACCTGCACAGAGAAGACGGTTTGCAGCGAAGAACATAGAAACATACATACAAGCAGGACAAAACGATAAGGCACATACATTAAATATATTGGTATGAAATACAGTAACGATCATGTTATTCATTCCCGGTATTCCCGAATCAGGGCATTCAGTGCTGCTTGATTTAGTAATGCATGCATTATACTGTTGAGCCATTATAGTCGACCAAAGAGTGAAGAATTGTGCTTGAGTTACCTGGAATGCTAGTCAGTAAGTTCCTCAAAATACGAATATAAACATTATTTTTAGCCTTACAACTTCCAGCTCTAGAACGACTCTGGACTCTATAACGGAAGCAGAGAGGTACGCGCACACGGCTACGTAACCTCCATGTGTCTCTTCGGCTTTGTCAAGTTACCTCCTTACTGTAGAAATACGATTTAAGCATTACGCGGGAATGATATGAAGATATTGTGGGCTACTTTTGCAAGGCTTGTAAACAGTGAGCGGTATTGCATGCATTTAGGATATATTAGAGAGGAGAGTGTGAAAGCGGAAGTGAAGGGAACGGCAATCAGGAAGGAAGACCGTAATAATCGTTTACTCCTACTGAGAACGGGAAGGGTACGAACGACAGCTGTTTTGTATTATGAGATATTATTGGTGACTCAATATTATTATAGTTATTGCCTGGAATGGTGTTCTTAGTAAAAAGCTGTCCTCTTCGGGAACACTGATTGTGTGAATGCTGCACGATACGGCCCAATCAAAGCCCAAAATCGTACCTTAAGTGTGTTCTTGTGTCCGATTGTGAGTCATTATCCTAATTACGAAACGTCGAATTGCGCTGTAAGCGAGCGGATTTGTTGTGATTTTTGTGATGTATGGTCATGTGAAAACGCTTAAAATAGGTATACGATGTTTTCAAGAAGGAACTTACCATTCTGCACATATCACTTAAGGAATACACATGATTTTTTTAATGTTCTCGTCTCTCCTTGATCAGCAGAGGCGGTTACTAGAAATATTTGACAGTGCATTATTACTAGTAAGAGACACCTCTCTCTGTGATTAGACAGGGGTTGTAAGAATAGCAACAACAGATTCTAGTTTCGTTATCTACACTGTGGCGGCCTCAATGCAGGCGGGGCCAATACGTGTTTACTGAGCCGTAGAAGTTATTAGATTGGCATGAGCACATACTGTAATCATGAAAATGAGTATTAATGATTACCATGAAATGATGTGTATTCTAAAAGTAGCCAGAACCACCTTTGTCGCCCTGAAAAACTTTTTAATTAAAAAAAACCTCCGTCGGATAGAGGAAAATTGATTCGAGGGAGGCTAGGAAGTTTGGCGTCACTGGACAAATTTTTGTGGACTTTGCCGGCTAGCTGCAAATTGCTGATGCCTACTCGGGCAGTACAAACTCCAAAATCTTGTGAAATATAATCATAGGGAATTACGCAAACGTTTATCTGCTTGTTCATATCTACGCCAGACGTAATTCGAGTTAACGCAGCAATTAATTTTGTCCTACAGCCAGATGATCTCGTACGCAGACATTAACCATAACCGCTTTTTCGTATTTTAAAAACTATGAAAATAGTTCTCTCAAGTTAATGTTAATATTAAGGTAAAGTCATATGGGAGTGGCTCATTTCGTTCTGTGTTACGGGTACGCATTCTCTGCCGTGCCACAAACAATAGAATATAACCTAGCGATAGGTCGATCAAAACTAGCTTAACTTCTTGCTTACATCAACGCTTTATGTCTCAGTAACATTTGAAAATGATCAAGTTTTAGCGTGATGCTAGCTGTGAATTCAGTATTATGCCAGAAAAAGCGCGCTTCTTTTTCAAGTCTCATTGTATGATACAAACCGTATTTTGAACCGTATGAAACAAACGATATTTTAGAAAGTGACAGTTTTATATTGTCCATTTCATCCTCACTTGTTACAAAACAACATTGAAATGCGCCCACTTTATCTTAAAAACACTGAGGTACGGATTTTGTTTCGCTTAGATAAAGCAAACTCGCTATAACCTACTATTTAAGTAGGTAATTTATCCATACTTTGCTTCGAATTAATGTAATTAAATTTTTGGCGTATGTATAACATCTACCATTGATAAGCCTCGCAATTTAAGTCAAGGTATTGGTTTCAATAAGGTAGAAACCAATGTTTTTGTATTATAACTTCAATCATAAAGTACGTTGAACACTATATTAGATTAGTGGATCTGATATTAAGTGAGGGTTGTATGAATGTAAGGCGCTAAATTTTAATAACTGTATAACGGATATAAGATTCAAGAGTCTTTTCCCTAATGTCGATAGAAAAAAAAAACTGTGCGGTTCGCCTACCAGCGTTTAACCGCTGACGGGTAAAAGATCACTAAGTGGCATCGGCATTGTGAAGCGGTTTGGAGAATTTAAATTATTTATATAAGATTCAAACCATTAGAATCGCTCATGGCTAGCTTAGGGTGTTTGATTGGAGACGGTCTCAAGAAGTAGTTAGAAAATGCTAATAAGTACTTGTTAAGAATACATCAAAGCTTCGATATTAGTCTTGTTAATACTTTAAAAAAATGCGAGCTTGTCAACGATTTGAAATGCTGGCTTGTTCATTTCGTAGATCTATAACCTATAGATTGTTCTAACATTGACTAAACGTTGCCTCAAAAATCGCTATACTTTTTTGCTCACCATTTTAATCCTGCAATTGAATATGCCTATTTTAAAACGTTGTCACGCTGCAGTTGTTTTAATAACTTGCCGCTTTTCAGCAACAACAGACAAATAATTAGAACAAATTCAGGAATCAAAATAACTGGTTCGTTCCATGTAAAATCGACCTTTTATACCAACAGTAAATAATTACGTTAATTAGCTTTCTCCTTGCTAGAAATTTATCTGAACCTGGAAAATCTTATTACGCTTTTTTACCATGTTAGTCGCATGTATTGAAATGAGCTTTAGCTCACTTGGGTTAAAAAGCTGTAAAATTTTATAAAATAATTGTGAATTTATATTGAAAAATATATTGCACTAGTCAAGTGAGGCATATTCGTGACTGCGACGACTGTGGTGCTGCATCGTAGACTGCCTGCTTCCATTTTTGCCCTTAGATCAATAATGTCTTAGCAATGACGATGGGTATAAGGATATTGGTATAGTGCTTAACCTATAGGAAGTTATATTTAACTTGAGCAGTTGCTAGGATTCTTAAGTCGGTTTGGTAAGTTGTATTACTTCGGGATCTTATCAAAAGACCTTGAACCATTACAGAAGTAATCAATTTGCTGGCTATGTGTGTACGTGCCGCCACTAATATACCGTAGCTTTATTTAGAAAGTACTTTTACTGCTCTCGCAATATTTTATTCGACTGTTTCGCAAGTAGCCAGAGAAGGGGCGAACATCAGTCGTTCCGAAGGGAAAGTCTATAGCAAAGTTAGCGATAGCTGGCATTTGCATGCGAAATGCTTCGCGCTGTTTTAAATATATAACCAATATCAAGGAGCTGAGTGAGACACATTTTTGTATTTAACAAAAGAATCAAATTGATTTCACAGAAGCTCTTTAAACAAGAAATTATCTCAAGTAATTTCGATATTACCTTGAATGATCGACAAACTATATGTTTTGTGTTGTATAAACAAAGATTGGAACCGTTGGACAAAGACAAGGAAGGACCAATGACAACCAGAAGGACTAGCTATTTAAAGGCTAGTATTAAATTAGATAATTAATGAACACAGGCGGATACATGCCTGGAACCTGGAGGCAGGCATGGTCAGTTTGGTGTTGGCGGAAAGCCACCTATCAAAGGTTCCGAATTTTTATTATATTTACTCATGTCAGACTACAAATATTATACTTTTTCACACTTGGTCGCATTTGTTTTCTATTTTTTACTGTATTGACGTTATGTCGTTATTTCCAGAAAGCAATCTGCGCGCATGGCTGATAAATTTCCCTGTGGATAACCATCAAAAGAGTGCGCGGTGATAATACGGACGAACGAAATTGCAGTGACGTACATTTAGACGGTTGTTGTCCGGCCCAGTTTCTTTGCCGAATTTTGCGCGAGTTGCTGTTTTTTGCACGCTCAAAAATGTGATCATTCCAAACACTAAATTTCCTTCTTTGCCTAAAAACTGTGTTAAAATATTATCATTAACCACCACGTTTGCTTTCACTACATAAGCCTTTCCTAAAATATGAAAAAAGCGCATCGTAAAAGCCTCCGATTATAAATATAAATAAAATAAATACGGCAATTGTTTAAGTGAAAATAGCAAAAAAGGTTATTGGTCCAGCATAACATAGCATAAAAAGCTTTTCTCGTAGATGCTTATATGGCAAAAATAGCCATTCTAGCAGAATGAATCTCAGCTAATGCGAAAAGCGCATTAGAATCTTCAAAACGAATTGAGTAGGAGGGCAAAAATAGCTGACCTGTGCGTCCTTTCCAGGATCCTTGAGACAAGTTAGATGGTCAACATACTTTTGGCCTTTTTTACCTGAAGTCCTGTAGATTTATACATGCCGCACAGGTTTGCTCGATTCAATAAAGAAAGTTGGCACCGAACGGCATCACATTCCTAACAGAAGAAAGAAATGGTATGAAGCTGACGCAATAATTTAGGTTACTTCATGCTTGCTATTTATTAAGAGTTACTTACGGTGATGGATATGAAACAGGTGTAAGTTTGAAACCCTCCGTACGATGTCTGCTGTGTCGTCAGGGAAGTTCCACAGCGCACATACTGCAAGGTAGTATGTCGTTGGTGTTGAAAAGGAGCGACGTGTTACTTTCGCTGCTATTTTTCTTACCGCTCGTGTAACTTGTCCCTAATATTTTTCTTCCTTTTTGACAGTAGACTTCTCAGCAAGGTTTTGTTCCGACTTACCCACCCCCGCTCAGAGGAGCACAAAGGCTGGATATATACCAGCTAGCATGTATGAACTGTACATCTTGCGATGCGGGACGACATGTTAGTTTGTCTCTATAAAGATCGTATAAGACAGTAAACGGATTTGGGTCGGAGGGGTTTCGACACACGCAAAAGAGAAAGTACAATGTTTCTGCATTTTTACACTGGTATCACAGGAGTTCGTTAAATGTTCCGCTTTAGATCAACAGCGATACGGCCAAATACGTTGGCGGTTCAGTTCCAAACTACCGTCAAACGGTTGTCAACCAAAGAATTTATTTTTCTTCTAACCTTATTTTCTATCCTCTTCATGGTTTGCTCACTATCCCGTCAGCCACCTTCAGCCCACTTTGTTGCCAACCTATTGCTTTTTAGAAAGGTAAAAGCGAGATCTAATCAATAATCATCACAAACCTGTAATGACCTCAACCTATAAATTTTGCATTTGTTTCAAGCCTTAAGACGTTTCTAAACTGTTAGCAGAAATATTTATTTCTTTGCCAATGAGAAGGTGTTTCAAAACAGATAGGAAATATGAGTAATTCAACGCGGCTGAAGAACGGTCTTTACAACGGAATTATGGATCATGTAATTCGACAAATATTTTTTTAACTAGATTGACCAACTTCGTATGCTGAAGCAGCTTTGAAATAAACTACGCTACTTCGGCACTCTAAATTATTTAAGAGCTTAAATAAATTATAGTGATAACATAAGCTGAAATAAATTTATTATTAACATCGGGTTAAAGCACGTTTATTAAAATCATCCCAAATAGGCTACTCCTGTACTGCAGTATATGCCTAACGCTAGAGGTCCAAAAGGAGCTGCGTGTATCACTTAATGGAAGCCTTTGATATTTGAGACGGGAAATGTATATATATGTGTGTGTGTGTGTGTGTTTATATACATATACAATTATATCGAGCAAACCCATAACAGCAGGACAAGTACGATTTAACTCAAATTATTAATCCAGAGTGTTAACTATCTCGATATTGTGGAATTGGGTACCTAAGCTCTGCTAGGTTAAACCAGCTAACCAGCTAGAGTTTGCGTAACTTAAAAACAGATCCCTTGTTTGCATTGCTATATCTGCGCTTGACCCAAGAGCTTACGATAACTGAATAACGCCAGTCCAATGGTGGTAGCAGTATTAATAACAGTTTCATTAGTAACACTGATTTGTAGAACCTTGCTGACAGAAATTTGGTATCGTAAGCATAGTTAAAAAAAACATGGCAAATTTCTTAAGTTGTGTATAGACAACGACTGATTCTAGAATTAGAATTTAGAATCATGGCTGGATTAAGGCTCTACCGGACTTTGTGATTAATATTCGCACCACATGCAATGCAGTTAAATACCAAATGAAAATGACCTCATCTGTGCTGCCTGCACTTTTCTACAGTACTTGTCAACAGTAAGTTGGCTTTAAACGTAGCCCCTCTTTGAGATATGAATCGTCCGATCCTTCAACCGCAACGGCTCACGGCTGAAAATGCCGCACTATGTTAACTTTTGTGAAAATAAACCTAAAAAATGTTTTTGCGACATTGAAGGACGTTTTCTACAAAATTATAGAGTCAAGCGAAACCTACCTATGATAAGTAAAGCTCTCCTTAATAAAAGGTAAATTTTAATACAGATTACTAACTGAAAAATTACCGATTGTACAGTTCCACAAAAACAATATTACTGACTACGTATACATTACATTCCCTCAAGAGGAAGAAAAATCGTCTCTGAAACTGTTAAACTCTAAGGTACTGTAAATAAGAACAGATGGTACTAGATTCAAGATAATTAATACTACAGCGAAAATACGTATGTAGAAATTTCTGAAAAAAACGATTATTTCGATACCACTAGGCATAGGAAGCAGATAATGTACAATGTTCCTAGCTATTGAATAATGTATTTCCAATTACTGTGACGAACCGAAACAACAAGAACGAAGGAATATACAATAGATAAAACCATAAGAGCAAATAGTTCAAGCTCGCTTAAAAGATCTCATCTACGAAATACAAAAAGAGCCATTGTTTTTAACGCTTCTAATGTTTTTACCCCGAACATTTCGAGTAGTTTCATGAGCTTGCGCAAGATGCGTGAACTAGACGTCGAAGAAGCGATATCAAATATGGGCAAAAATGGTACCGTTGAAAACTATGATCACGAAAAAGCCAACAGTTTTAATAATTTCTTTGTAACTTAATCCCGGGAGAATTTTACAAAGTCTATACTATTAGATGAATGCCGTTTATTAGCTATGCCAGAAATATATTAACCTATAGAATATCTTTAAATGAAATGTAGCTTTATGTCGAACCTCATAAACTTCCAAAAGAATTGCATTACTGATATGTAAGTCACTTTGTTTTGGATGATTGGGACATTTTACACCTACTTCCATGATGAAACAATAGGAAGTTAAATGTGATTTGATGAAGTTATGTTTGGTTAATTTGGTGAATAGAAAATCATATTTTTACTTTTTATTAGCAGTAAATTTCCTAGCTTTCACATAAGAAATATCTACCTCTACATTATTTCTCGAATAGACCAGGATTCGGGTACGTGAACAGCAAAAGAGCATTTTGTCTACGCGTACTTTAGCGTTTAACGCAACCTTCCAGGCGGTTTAAAATTTTCGAAGTAGCAGCAACTCTGTTGATTGATTTACTATTTATTGACCACGTGTTCAATTGTTCAAAAGTGCAAAACTCCAATAAAATCTCAAGATAGTTCGATCTCAGGTGTCGTCTGACCACATTTTTTGACCACAACGAAATGGCGGGGTTAGAGGAAATTAACAGCGTATAGACTTTTTTTACTGCTAGGAAACTAACTTATTTAGCGAATTGTACAAAGGAAATCCAACCATAGCTTTACACCATCGGTATCGATTATACATCATTGTCCCATTGCGTCTACAATTACATATATATTTACATCTCATTATCTTTATAAATGATCCACAGTTTTACATTTAATACAGATTTTTAGTACAAGTGACGCCTCAGACAATATTGAGCTAGTCTGTGTTTTGATCCGATAAAACTGTACCAATTACGTATCTAAGAGAGTAAATGGCTCACATTTTGAGCTAGATTCCGCGTCGCACGTGAACTTTTCTTCCGTGAACTAAAATTTGTATAATAACTCAATATAAAGTTAACCTGTAGTACAGAAGATAATATTTGAGCTAGCATTTAATGGCACGAGATGCGAAACGAAACAGCAAACGAGAATAAAAACATACAAAAGGCCCGAGAGTTGCTTAGGACGAAGCAAAAGCTTCCAAGACGAAATAGGAAACGGGTCACTAACTCTGATATGAAGGATTCAGTGGAAAAAACAGAAATTTAATTTATAAGTGTTAATATTACTCCATTGCGTGGCAAAAATTGGAATGGTTTCTAATGTCTCTGTCAGTGTCTGCTGATTTGTATGTACTTCCGTGTTAGATATACATCACTCTACGGGTTAAGAAGCGAGGTATAGTGTAGCAACTCGTAAACTTAAATTGTCTAATGGAGTACCACAGATTAACGTGTTCCTGAAAATGTTCATCCGATCATTATACAGGGAGCTCAAGGCCTATTTTACCTTTGCTGGCAGAGAAATCGTTTCCTAATTCTATTAATTCAAAATATTCATTCGCTTTTTAGAAAAATTTTTTTGCTCTACTAAATTATTTCCCGCCAAATCACAGACCGATAGTTAAGAACGAATTACCATAAAAGACTTATTACCATTGTCGAGTCATTATAGATTATCTGGCATAAATGCTATTTCTTGCACAAACACTTTAGAAAACTCAAAGCAGGGTGGCTGCAATTGCGTTCCTACATATGTTTCTTCTGTAAACAATAACGTCTTGAAATAATAATGATAATTTTAATTATTACCATTATTGTTAATAGCAATAAAGTGTTTTGTTTTTTGAAGTCTGTTCGCCTTTTGATATAAATTACTTATAAGTAAATACCAATACAGCTTAATATTTTGCCGCGTGGTTAATGCATAATTCGAAATTAAGCCGTCCATATGTCCAATTCTATTGTTACTTACCGAAATAGCTTGGCAGTATCCAACTGCTATACACATAAAATAGCCGAACACCCAGTGCTCGGTGATAAAATTCGAAACGAACGAGAAGGGGATGCAGAAGACGGCCATGAGAATGTCGCCGACGGCCAGATTCACAATGAACATATTCGTAACTGTTCGCATACGTGGGTATGCCAGTACTATGTAACAAACAAGTCCGTTACCGGCTAATGCGAAGAGGGTGACTAGGCCATACATGATAGACATTACGACGAGTGCAGGTACTTGCGCTGGCTCCCATGGACCGTCCAACGAGCAGTTGATGCGTGCTGTCGTTGCTGACGACAGGCCAGTAATGCTGTTTACGCCGCCGGAGGGCGGTCCGCCAGCCGCTGCCGACATCGTGTTCAATAAACCTACAACTATCGCTGCACCTGCAATAAAAAAGGAGACAATATTAATAGTTGGAAATCCATTGGAAATCGAACGAACAGTGGCGAGCTATCTGACAAAAAGCAAGTTGACTATATAACTCAATATTACTATAGGTTTTGACATTTTGAGTCAAACGTAAATTTTTCTTTTTTAATAACAGGTTTTTAGTAAACAATGATCCCCTCAAAATGTTTAAAGTTTCAACCATTTGCGACAATAGTCTGGTAGAGAATTTTTTTAGTTTCAATAGCAGCATGGGATCACTAAAATACTGCAGGTATATAAAAGGCCCAACAAACAACTCACAGTAGGGCCTATGGAGGAAAATAATTTGTTAATAAAATTTCAAATAGAAATCACATGATACATAATTAATTAAATAACGTAGAATAATATTTTAAAACGGTATATTATGAATCATTTAATCAAATTTTATCGACATCCTGTCGGATTAAACGTAGCGTAATCCGACAACATGCTGATATGATCCGTAGTTTGCAACTCTGCCAATTGTTCCCTAGCGTTTGCGTTACTGTCCCCATGATGACACAAGGCTAGTATGTTTATTTACCAAACTTAAAGGCATCTGGTAATATTGTTTTGAAACTACACTTCGTTTCGTACTGGGAGCCAGCCCTCTAAAAATTAATATTTTTCGATTTTGCACTTAGATACCAACTTTTCATCTACTCTTCTGTTGTTATGTCTTCGACAAGCTTTCAGTGATATAACACGGGATCCTGTTTTCCAACTTTTATTTATATATTCTCCACTTTGAATGGGGTGCATGCTTACTGGGTACTTATCTGTTCAAGATTTTGAACGCTTTTACAGTCGTTTACTTCGCTACCTACAACTCTTATCGCCATCCGCCCTAATATTGTAACGCGCGGGACCGTCCTATACTCCATATAGGAAGTATTTCAGGTACATGTTCCCAGGTTGAGTCTTCTTACTACCATATATAGACGATTATGTTTTTTCTCCAATTTACTCAAGTTTATTTAAACGGTCAATATAAGCAACCGAATCCGCACTTCTATATTCTTATAGTGACAACAGGCAAGGATGTCGCCTGTTCAGCTGTCTATTCGGTCCCCGGATTATCTTTTCTAACCGATAACTTCCGAGTCCTTTTTCTCTTCCTTAATACAGATAACAGAAATATATTCTCAACGATGCTCATGTGATATTTCGTGCATACAAATATTATAAAAAGTGTAGCCGACTCAAAGCTACTTAGTTAAGATGAGCTTACTTAATGCTGAACAGATAGGACAGAATGGTTCGATTATGTCTTCTTTAAAAAATAGCAAGCTGACATAAGTGATTACGGTCGTTATCATCGTTGTACTTATTCTAAAAATACAATAATAATAATGCTAAAAAAATATTTGATAGGCAAGTAATGTAGAGAGTTCAGTGAAGTTAATCTTTATCACCCTCTGATGTTATCAAAATATGTAGATGGCTGCTATGATATTTCCCGAGAACAGTTAATGACATAATTATCCTAATATTTTTACGGAAAAGTAGGATAGAGTTAGAATATTGTATTCCGATACCATAAAATATGTAACGAATATTCCCATGCTTTAAGACCAGGTTTTCACAAAGGTTTTATTAGGATAAGAAATCCCTTGCAACCACCAGAATAAAGTATGACTAAGTTAGTTTCACACATGCAGATATATTAGAAAGTAAGACTTTGATTTAGCGATTATTGCTGAATACAAAAGGGTTACGTGACTCGTAGTCATTAAGCTTGGCTCTTTACCCCCCCCCCCCCCCCCCTAAAATTACTACTGTTATTATTTCTATGAATTTATAATGGCCTTATGCAGCATTAAGGTCTTATGTGAGATACCAGACGGGTGTTGCTGTCTCATAGAATAGCTATTCAGACCTCGTAACAGCCATTCCTGTAATGAGAATTTTATACTAAAGGGGAATGTTTGAGTGTTATTTAGTCTTTGTAAGCAAAACTTCCAGTTACTGCGAAGTTAGTATGGGCGGACGCATGTAGAGGGTCCAAGTGATTTTATACATGAAAAAACACTGCCCAAATACCGACAAAATTTTAACTTTAATTCTACTGATTTTTGAAATCTTTCTGAAATGAAAAAAGAAAGCACGCAGAAGGTCGCTTACAACAACAATTATTAACAAATTTTATGACAAATAAAATTAATTTTAGACTTGCAAACAAGAGCGTACACGATATTGACCCTTAGACACATACATCTGAGTTAAGCACGGTATGTCAGGGTCATCAACACCATGGCGTTAAGGATACGATTCTACGCACCCAATACTACAATCGAATTTTTGAAACCAGAGCGATTAACGAATGGAATCAACTCTCATGAGATCTTAGGACTACTTGAAGGCTCAGTGTTCCGGAAGTGACTCAGAACTGATCCCCTGATTTTCTGAATAAGCAGAAAAAAGTGACTGAACGGAGGTTGTCAAGAAATTTGTTTTGTATGCTGGCTTATTTCTACAATTCTTACAATTTAGTTTTTATTTTATTTCTTTTTTATAACAGAGACATGGATATCCGACAGTCTGCTTACGAGTCGTTGTTACTCTGCAATGAAACGAACGCGTTAACCTGTACCTAATCGAGCCATGTTTATGATACGTACTCATGTCAAGTTTGTACTTCCAATGCTAGAGAAATCTACAATTTATACAATGTATATATGGCTTTAACTATTTCAACAAACTACTCTGATATACCTCTAAAAGTGGCTATTTAGGTAGCCCATTAACGATTTGTCAGATCGTTGTAGACGACCTGCGTCACCTTGTTTTATGTGTGCCCTGCCATCACGTCACTACTATTATTGTGCTTATAAAATACTGCAACTTTTTAACTCTGGTTTGAAACGGGAAAACTGCACAAATCGAAGACAGAACAGCCATTAACCTTAAGCAATGTCCGACTGATCCGGCAAAAAAGAGAGCAGTAAAGGGGAGAAGAATTAGAACGAAGGTATAGAATACAAAACGTAAGCAGGTTTTTCACTGTTTATCAAGGTACTGAATCTGCATGAATACCTCTTAGTTCGATCAGATATATTTGCATTTTACTAAAAATCATTCAAAACGAATATTTTTTAATAATAAAAAAAGAAAGAGTTCGATTCGTTAGATTTAAGTCGAGTCAAAAATAATTGCACTTCAGAAGCGCGATCTAAATTTAAAGATTAGGAAAGCTATGCCTGCATAGTACTAGAAGGATTGTTACTTTTTAATGAATTATTTTTAAACCAACAATGATGGTAAGAACCATAGGGACAAGCATAACATGTTGATACTTACGTAACTTTCTAAATTGTTACTCACAAATAGTGTTGGACAATGGGAAAAGTACTTACACATATTGGTGTTTGTCTCATACATATTTATATACATATATGAATATGAAAACCTGTCCTGCGTAATTTAAACAGCTGTTAATCTGTTACTATAATCTGGAATATGAAAATATTCGTGATAAGGTTTTCTTCCGTAATCTATTTTTCTCTATAATTGTTTTGCTTTGGACACATAAATACTCTTCATTAAATTATACCGTAAGCATTTGTTTTTGTTCAGCAAAAGCTACATGAGTTTGGAATTTTTTTATGAATGAAGCGATTATTTTTTTTGTAATAAAATTGATCACTACGATTATTTAAGTAACCGCCTAGCTAATTGTCTGAGAGTAACTACCGGAAATTTCTATGAAACGGCAAAGTAAAAGAGACCATTACTTACACCCATAAACAGAGAACTTGAGAAATATTGTTCCATCAAATTGTAATAGCCATATGCGAAGGTTTGAAAAGCATACTATATCGTCAAGCAGGTAAAAGGCTGGAGCGATTTCCGTTTGATTATGGTGTGATTATTTTCTCGTCTAACTACCTACTTTTCCCTTTTTCAAATTTCTAAAACACCTGCTCATGATCCTGCACGGTACGTATATTACAGACATTTCAGCTTATTGTTTTAAAGAAAGACTGTACAACCCACATATATACATATAAAATGTTTTTTTCAAATTAAAAGGTGACACAAACAATGTCAGTTTGTGGGGACTGAATAGGAATATAGAAATATAATGTTGTAGAGGACAAACATTTCCTTGTATCCAATTCACTAAATAATGACTAAGATAATAATATTATAGAAAGTTGCTGGGAAGTGGCAATATAATCTGTCATCATATTAAACTGAGTGAACACATAAAACCCTCGCACCTCCTTATGCGCACCGGCAATTTTCTAAAACAAACACGTTAGATATGATTAAATTCCTTTGTTTTTATTTCGACAAAGCATAGCAGCGTTGTCATGGCCTGCTGGCGAGGGCAAGAAGGCTCGCCAAAAGCCTGAAATGTTAGGTAAGTAATATTCGTGTTTACCTATAACAGATCGATATCGCATAATGAGAATGGTTCAAACGTTGATTGAAGCCGCGGCATATCAGCCTTGCCTTACATAAACAGAGACGCCGACATTTTACATTTTGCACTATAGTTGAAAAGATACCACAGAGCAGATGTTCCTACAAGCCTAAAATTAGGGATTTTATAACTTGCATTAATATCGTTATGGTTCTTCGATTTGCTACTGCAATTTGGTTTGCTATTGCTTTTTAACGTTACCGATATTGGATATTACTTGTTTCTATAAGTTGACTAATGATACATTAGTACTATATATAGGTTACACATAAATAAATTAATAACTAATTACATTAATTAATGATGTATGTAAGGTAACGGATATATTGTTATGATAAAAATACTTGAATAAACATAGGTATATGTAACTATAGAACGAGTGGCTGTGCGTCGCTCCACCGTCCTGCCGTCAAACGATAAATGGTAAAACCAAGCCAGTTCGCTTCGTTCAGTGGCAGCGTGATATGGCTGGCGGTATGGATATGTTGGTGACCAAACATGTATGGGTGGTTAGACAGCGTCACTGGAAATAACTTTTAAAAG